TGAGGGATGGTCCACACACGCGTGGACCCTCTGTGTCCGATGGGTGTCCGATGGACCCTCTGTGTCCGATGTGTGTCCGATGGACCCTCCGTGTCCGATGTGTGTCTGATGGACCATCTGTGTCCGATGTGTGTCTGATGGACCCTCCGTGTCCGATGTGTGTCCGATGGACCATCTGTGTCCGATGTGTGTCCGATGGACACCTATGGACCATCTGTGTCCGACAGACACACGTGTGGACCATCTGTGTTCGATGTGTGTACAATGGACACCTATGGACCATCTGTGTCCAACGGACACACATGTGGACCATCTGTGTCTGATGGACACACGTGGACCGTGGACCATCTGTGTTCGATGTGTGTACAATGGACACCTATGGACCATCTGTGTCCGACGGACACACGTGTGGACCATCTGTGTTCGATGTGTGTACAATGGACACACGCATGGACCTGGCTGTGTCCGATGTGTGTCCAATGGACCATCTGTGTCCGATGTGTGTCCTATGGACACGTATGGACCATCTGTGTCCAACGGACACACGCGTGGACCGTCTGTGTTCGATGTGTGTCCAACGGACACACGTGTGGACCATTTGTGTCCAATGGACACACGCGTGGACCCATCTGTGTCCGATGTGTGTTTGATGGACACACGTGTGGACCATCTGTGTCTGATGGACACACGTGGACCTGGCTGTGTCCGATGTGTGTCCAATGGACACACACATGGACCATCTACGCGTGGACCATCCATGTCCGACGCCCCTGACTCTTGTCGTGAGGTCACTGCAGCAAACCCAGGACGTCGTCTCCTCCGTTCCTCCCTCCTCCAACGCGTGAAGGTCTTTGCTCTCCTGGTCTTGGGCAGATCGCCCCCCGTGTGCCCCTCACGACGCTGAGATGTTTCCATGGCGTTGCCTTGGGCAAGCGTTGGGTGCCTTCGGCTTCCTCACAGGGGAGCGTCGCTGCTCCAGCAGCTTCGAGCCGGTGGGGAAGGACAGAAACATCTCGTTTCACCCAAACCCCCCGTTTTCTCCCCGCAGCTCCCGGCTGGAGCGTTCCGCGGCGGAAGCGAGCGGAGGAGCTGCCGTCATACCTCAAGTGGGT